TTTGCTCTCTCAATTTCCCCTACTTTGCAAGTTTTTTGCGTACGCGAACGCAAAAACTTGTAAGTTTTGGTTAAACATGAACAATTAACAGCTACGCGAACGAACCTAATAGAGTGGATGAAATCGTTCAAGTGATTTCGGTCAATATTGCAACATTAACAATTAATGTCTTTTTACATAGAAGCCTCCGCTGTCTGGGGTCTTCACTTTTAGAATGTGAATACAGCCCTCTAACACCCCTTATACCAGGTGTTTTCCCGATCAAGAGTGCACTATAAGGAAAATTCCCTTTGTTTTACATCTCCGGCGCCTGTAAACAGAAATCAGCTGGCACAGGATGAACTTACTAAAATACTCCGTTTTTAAACAAAAACCGGGATTTCTTGGTTGACCAAAATTTTAAATCTGATCTTTATGATCAAAGATTATATATTTGCATACCTATCAAACACATATTTTTTTAAGCTCAATTAACCCGCTCCATAGCCATTCCTGCCCCACTGTGCAAGCGTCCAACAGCAGCTGTGTGAGCAATTGCATTATTTTCATTCAAGGAATGCCGTGTTTTTGTTTACATCCGCCAAAATGATGGAATTGATAAATTTATTTAGCAAATTAAGTGAATTTTATGATCGTCAATTACTTTGGGAAAATATTGAAGAGATTTACGAAAAGGATGCTGAAACAGATCAAAATAAGAAAAAACAGCCTAGCGGCGAATCACAAGACTCTGATGACGAACCGCTATCTACTTCGACCACTAAATCTGGTATCATTAATCTTCCGTTCCTACGACGTGCGCTTAACGATCCTCAAGTGCTTGCCACGCTGCTAGAATTGAGTTCCACCATACGCAATTTACGCGGTGAAACAAGTGCCAGTTATGATAATACCTACGATTGCTGGGATGAAGTCGTGAAAGTGTCACCGCGTGATGCCTACCTCAGTTTCGTATATGCTTTAGCTGGTTTGCCGACATTGGATCTAGCGTCTGCTGCATATACAAAGTTGGCGCTTGCCGCTGTAAACACTTACTTTCTTTCGTTGACTATACCTGGCGCAAAGGGGTTTCACATTTTCGAACCGGAGGTTATAGCACATTGTCTACAAGTATTCACCATTATCGAGCGCATACAACAGCCAGATGTAGTGCGTCGCATGTCCAAACAGCAGCCAGTCGAGATTTGGATACGCTTTCATACATTATGCGATGATTTGAAATTGTTGCTAAGGTATGTACACTTCAGTGATCACAAAACGACGCGCGATTTGCTGCTAAAGAAGTTAATTGACATACTCTACATGAATCATGAACGAGGATACGCAAATGTGTGTAAGTAAAGATATGTATTATTTTTAATAACTTGAACAAAATGTGCGCAAGTTCCAGTTTTATTCGCAATCGTTAATAATTAGGTTCATACAACATTTAAAAATATACCGTATGCAATACAAAAAAATTACATTATCGTCAAAGGCGTGGCGACTTTTTAGAGCATTTAGCCCATAGCGCGTTTCATAAACAAATTTTTGATCGGCAAAATACTATCGGTCAACTGCAATCCCAAGCTGCGAAGCAAAACCACAGGCGTAAAAGTAGTCGAGTAAAGCGTGTGTAGTCCGTGTACGCCTACCATAATAGGTACGTTTTTCGCCAAACTTCGCTGTTCATATTTGACGAGATAGTGCTTGTCGCTAATTTTAGCGCCAGCATATGTCGCCTCGGCCAACACCTTAACCAGCTCACGCACATCGCTGTAGCCCAAATTCACACCTTGTCCTGCTAACGGATGCACGCGATGTGCGGCATCGCCAATTAAAGCGGCACCAGTGCACACATACGAAGCGGCATGTAGAAATCCCAATGGAAATGAAGCACGCGATTTTTCTATGACGCCATTTACGCCTGGTGGATACTGCCTTATCATATTGGGATTACGACCAATGAGTGAATTTAAAGTATTCATTGCATTAACAACAACGCCTTCCTTGGGATATTCCTTAAAGAAAGCTTCATTGAGTGCCTTCGCGAAATCTGCATCAGGCATGTCCAACAACTGCTTTGCGTGCGGTATAGTTGTGCTCCACACAACCGAACTCAGCGTCTCACTTAATGGTAATAAGGCCACAGGGCCGGTGGGTAGGAAACGTTGCCAGGCCACAGCATTATCGCATGCATCTTCTAGCTGTACTGTGGCTACGACACCACGCCGCTCATAGTCATATGTGAATACATCAATATTCATTTGCTTGCGCACCAATGAATTTGCGCCATCGGCACCAATTAGCAGTTCACATGTCAATGTTTGTCCGTCTTTAAGGTGTACTTGTGAGTACTTTTCGCCCGTATCCACTGACAAGCGCAAACCCTCAATTATTGCATTATTGCGCACCTGCACATTCGGTGCACTTTTGCCATCAGACAATTGTGCATACATTGCGTCCAACATAAGATCGTTTTCGACAATGCACGCTACGTCATCTGAGTAGTGTTCATCTTGAAATTGTATCAATGCATCACTACATGCATCCCATACTTGCATTTGTTTGACATGCTTAACCCGACGCTCTTGCATATAGTCCCAGGCATCGATTGACTTGAAAAGTTCCACGCTGTTGTTGTTAATGGCCGATACACGATTGCCATATTGGGATTCAATGTTGAAGCCTTTGAATGGTGGCGCACCTTCCAGCAATAAAATGCGTTTATCGTTGAGCACCTTATTTTTGGCGAGTGCTACAGCCAGCGTAGTGCCAACTAGTCCACCACCTCCAATTATAATATCAAAATGTTCTGTTGAGGATTTAGATTGTTGTGCATCGGTGTCGGTGTAACTCTTTGAACTGAGGCTGATGCCACGCACTGCAGTAAGGCGTTGGAAAACCAACCGCAAATGGCGCGCGCCAGTAACGTTTATTAGGGCGGACATTCTATGGTTTTTCACCCTAATGAAAGATATAGTTTTCGAATTATCTAATAATTTGGTAAAATATTCGTATTAATTTTTACCTTTCACAGTATTTTCTGCCCTTTGATATTTGCCTTTTTAAATTTCTTTCGTTTGTTTAGAATGAAGTCAGTGAATCAGCTGTTTTAGCGCACAGGGTTGCATGAGTTAATAAGAGATTTTTCTTAAGGAAATAAAAACTGTTCCCACTCGTTATATCTAATTTCGCCCATCCGGTTGTCGATAGGAAGCAACGTTGATTTTTTTCCTTAAACTCCGCTAAGCAAACTTCCTTTTCCTTTCAGATGCTGCAAACCTACACGCCAAATGTTTCGAAATTTTCGAGGAAATAGTCAATGCTCATAATGGCGAACCAGAAGAAACACTCATGAAGCTAATGAACATGACTGTCTTCGTACATACCTACGCGCCAAAACCGAAGAGCTCCTACGGCTCAAGCATTAGCGGCGACTGCGAGCACATTTCTGATTGGTTTATTAAATGCATTTCCAAATATCCACGAATTCTTGTCAAAGTGCTGAGTTTCTACATTGAATGTATTGTAACCAATCCGATCAAATCATGGAAAACAGAGCAAACACAGCGTGCACTTGAATATGCTGCAAAATATGATGCAGCGCTATTCACTAAATGCAATGAGTCAACAGTGGAATTTCTCTGCGATGCCGTCTATGCAGATGAAGTGATGATACGCTCCCGCGCCATTGATTTGATGTCGCGCATTTTGCAGCTAGAGTCACAAGTTGATTGGCAAATGTTTCGCCATGAAATATCAGACATACCGCGCGAAGTGCATCTCATAAATGAGCTTATAAAAAGTCTGCAAGACTGCAATAATACAATTAAATTAAAGGCAGTGCAAGCATTACATATTTCACTAACTAAAGGTTCTCCCAACACTCTAAAAATACTTACTGAGGGCATACGCTATACACAGTATCACGACGTGGGCGTTGTGCTGCCAGACGAGCCGCGCGTAACCAAAAATGAAATACGTTACGAAAAGCCCACGGCATTGGACCCAAAGTTTAGCTACACAGGGCATGGTTTGGTTGAGTTAGCGTTCCTACATTTGCCAGAATATGTGTACAAAAATCTCTTTCAAAGTCCACAATCGTATATGAGACGTGCGGGTGTGATGTTTATGGAGCAGTTGGCGAAACTGAATCCTTTAATAATCTTCAATACAAACTTTGTAGCGGAAACGACGCGTTTGGTGGATGAGCCCACAGCCTTGGTGCGTAAGCAAACTCTGCTCACCATCGATGGCATACTTGGTTGCTATCCAAATTGTTATGCCGTAATATGGGTGTGGTGTAAAATTGTTGCGCCCATGTTAAGAGACGCCGATCCCAAGAATGTGGAATTGGCTATGGATGTAAGTGGTGTATGATAATGAATAGTTATACATTCGTGTAATATTTTCGCTTTATCTTTGCAGTGTTTTCGTTCACGCGTGCTAGTAAATATGCGTGGCATTGATCAATCAAATCAAGCAGAGCACTTTATGCCATGGGTTATCATACGCACGATGCTGTCAACGCAGCCGCGTCTATATTTGCAGATGTGCTTCCATATGGCGCTGCAGCAGCGAATGCTTAAGTAAGTGTAGAAAAAGTTATTGAAAATAAAACCTATCGACGATATCATTTTATTCTAGCCCGCAAATGGTCAGCATAATCGAATCTCACCTACTAACTTCAAATTCCACTGAAGCCTGGATTGTACTCAATTTCATTTCAGGCAAGATAAAGAGTAAGGAGCCGGATGCACTGGTGCATCTCTTCACGTCATTGAAATCGGTATTATTTCAAACTTAATAAATGTACTTAAGAAAATATTCGTTTTTAATTTACACACTTTTCATTTATCTACTCCGACAGTGGAACAAGGAGCAAAATATGCTTATCGCTTTGGAAGTGCTTGCCAATTGTATACAGGATTTCTCCCATTCAGCACTCAATCATGCATTTACGCATATACTCAGTCAAATTCAAGAAGGTCAAATGATACCCGTACTCATTGGCAAGGCATTTGACCTTCTCATACACATTGATAACTGCTCACAATCTCAGGCATGCCAAAGTAGCAACGCAAAGACCAATCCACTTGAGTTAACTGAAAAGGCTTGGCTATTGGAATTGCATGATTTACTAGAATTGCGCATACTCTCCGGCATCGCTGATTTTCCTGACAATCGCACTATATTTATGTCACACCTTTACTCTTACTCGGAAGTCAACTTACAGACACGCTTGCGACCGCACCGCACTATTGTTTCCTTCATACACAAATACATGAGCGTGTGCTTGAAACTGCCTGAGTGCGAGTTGGATTTGGAAAATGAGCGTCTCTTCAATTCAATGATTTTGATTGCAGGCCGCTTGTCGCTGCGCGATGCTGTAACGGCCAGCATTAGTTGTACGCTTTACGGCGCAATTTTGAAAGTCATCGATCGTCCGCCGATTGTGAATACAATAATTGTTTCCCTTACGGATTTATGTAAGAAACACACACAGATAGTCGAACGTATCATAGAGCATGTGCTAGCGAAATTGTCCTCGCCATACTTAGTCAATCGCATAGAGACATTCAAATGTTTTGAGAAGCTAGTACTGCAGGATCAAATAAAGTTACGCGGTTCGCTTCTATTGGCGCTTATGGCTACAATTTTGGACGATAATGTAGAACTAGCAATGCGTGCGTGCGAGTTTTTTGCTGAATACCTCAGCAAAAAGAATGCCACGCTCTTTCAGAAATGCCTGGTCGAATGCCCATTCGTTTTTAATGAGTATGAGGTAGGTTAGCGGTTATGGAATGTCTATTCGAATCGCTTAATTTACTAACTGCTTGGCAGGATTTTGATGGTTTAGATAGTTTTTCGGATACGCGCATAAAGTCGCCATTGAAGGGTGAGGAAAAGCGCAAAAGTCGGCAACTGCTATATAATCATTTGATGGCATCGGTGGATCAAGTAAATTTGGTGCTGTATTTCGGGCAACTAAAGCTTATTTGTGGTAAGAGAAATAATGGCCCAAATAGAATCATAAACATTTAAGTTCATAAGAACATACTTAAAATATTTATTTAAAATAATTTGCATACCCTAAATATTTCTATGCTACTTGTTTGCATCAACCCGACTTTCAGAAAAATCGCAACGCGACTCAAGCATGAAAAGCGCCGAGGGTATCGCTTTGATCAAGGATGTACTTTTCATTCTGAAACGTGTCTGCCAGCTGGCGAAAGAACAAAAACCGAGCGCAGAGAATAAAGATGACGATGAAGAAAATACCAAAACAGATGATGCACTTACAGAGGCTAACGAAGCAGCAGCCTCAGAGCAGCCATCCACTGGAAAGTCTACCACAAACACTGCTACAAGCAGCACAGGACGTGGCCGTGGACGGCGCAGAGCTATTGTCACGATGCCTGATGCGGTACACCCACTTATAATATACATTAAATGCCCTTTTATTTACAATTATATTGTCCTTTGTCCACAGCTCGTTCTACTCGAGAAGTCTTTGATTTTTATACCCACCATCTACGGCTGTTTCACTGCCCAGATGACAGATGACTCGTTGCAAAAAGCGTTCGATGATTTGGGTTTTGCGCTAGCAAAGCGATTTCCCAATCTAGTGCAATACGCACAGCCATCAGCGTTTTGGAAGAAGTATAGCAATAAAGTCGTAACACCGGTAAAACAAAATAAGAAAAACAAAAAAGCTAAGGTAAAATCCACAAGTAAAGCGCCTGAGAAGGCTCAAGCTAACTCAACACAAATTGATGAAGCTGTCAATTCAACTGAGAATGATGTAGATGCTGATGACGATATGGGATTCGGCGATTCATTGTCAGAAAGTGATCATTGCTCTGATGATGATTTGCCATTGGCAAGCAGTAAGCGTGGCGATGGCACATCACCACAAAAACGGCCGCGTTTAAGCGATGCCGAATTGCCAATGGAATATTTGTTCAATCCGAATATTTGAGAATTACAGCAGTGTCCTGGTACAAGCACCAAGACCGGGACACTGAGTAGCGTTAGTGATGTTAAGTTTTTTGACGTATAGAATAGAATATAATTTTTTATAGAGGATGTGCGCTGCGACAAAACGTCCTGTAAGGAAACCAAGCAGTTTCGAGGTCGGAAGGGCCCTTCCTTCTAGTTAGTAAGTCTTCTTTTCGCATCCGCATCGTTTCTAAAAGGAGATGCAGTGTGGTTTCTTCTGCCATGTCGCAGTAATAATAGGAGGATGTTTATATAAATCTTAGGTTTGTCATTGCGACGAATAACAATTTTTATTTGAACTGACAGTGGAATATGTATGTACGCATGTATCTATTTAGCAAAAGTGGTACCTTACCCCGACTGGAATCGATATCATATCCGCTACTTAGATCTAAATCCCGCATTTATACTATAATTAAGTTCCGTTTTTTTGTTGTTGCTTATTCAAAGTAATACCAATGACTCGAATAGTGTGACTAATATTTTAAAATTTAACTATGTGTGCATTTATACAGTAAAATTGTTAGATTTTAACTATGTTTGCATTAAATCTATTCGGTGTATTCTGATAGGACTATTCGTTAATAAGTATGTTAAATTTGATGTACGCTAATTTGATGTGTGTATGTTATATAATCATTTGATATATTGACAATGCTTATATAAAGCATGCTAGAATTATTAAAACAATTATAAGACTAGACAGACATTGGCTGTACTTACTAATGAGGATATCTTATAGTGATTTGCACGAAAATCTACGGTTTTGCTGTAGGCACAGCTTCTCAATATCGCTGAATGCTGTCGAAGGGCTGTACTATCTGTTTCTTGAATATCAGTGATTAATTAAAATCTTCACACTACAATAAATAAATGCACAGGTATGCAACAAAGGATAATAATAATGCCAAAGAAAAATACTGATGACCCGAACTCAACGAATAGAGTCAAAACATAAGCTGGAAATCAAATTCAGGAGTGGAATAAAGCCTTTAAACGACGTTTTACTCAATTCAAGGTAAGATAAATGTAAATGTTATTGACAACATACATATGTATGAGGCGACTTGCGGGCTGGTTTTAAAATTATGATGCGAAAACTCTAATGCACTAACTAGCCCTTGTGTAGCTTTGAGTCATGGCAAAAAGAAAAAGCTTTATTGGGGCAATTTCGACGTACTGGTTTTAAGGTTCCACTGAAGATTACAGCATTTGTTCACCATGAGGTTCAGCCGCTAGAGGGTGTCTGCCTTGAAGCAAATTCCTCGCTTTGACTATGATTTTAGGGCATATACGTCGCCGCTATCGAAGAAATGCGATCGCCAAGAGTGATGAGGTATATTTTCACCTAAACGGAAAACCAAAACTGCCGTATTTGTGGTATTGAAAATCCAAATGCAATTCAAAAATAAACTATGCACCCACGACGAGTCATTGTTTGGTGTGGTTTTCGAGCTGGCGGAGTACTTCATGGAAAATGATGCAGGTAGCGCTGTTACGGTGAACGTTATCATGATATAATAACAAATGTTTTATTGCATAGACTTGCCACACAGCATATGAAACAACGGTAAACGAAATTCTCAGGAACCGTTATCTCACGAAACAAGGAGTTCTTGACACATGAAAAGTTTGGTCTATGCTAATAAACCCGAGACATGTACAGCTCAAACTATGCCAAAAAATCATTGACAATTTTTGTATGCGCATTCTGTGTTGCCTGAGGAGTCGTGGTGGGCATTTAACGGATATTGTGTATCATATAAAAATGCAATCCACTAAACAACATAATGCAATAAAAATTAATCAGCCTCATTGTGAGAGTCGTGTCGAATGTAAGTCGTTTTTCGAGAGTCGAATCGTATCGAAAATTTCACGTCATTGCTTAAAAATTTGTACTCGACCAGTGTATTAAAACGGAGAAACTTGGCAGCACTGCATAGTTTTCGACGATTTTCGTCGTTTACTTATTTCACCATTAGGCAGTCGACAATGCGGATGTTGTCGAGTCGTACAATTTAGCCTAATTTACGACTTATCTAATGAGACTGAATAATTTCGACAAATTTTGCTGCGTTCTAGACAAAAAAACAAAATCTGTGGTCCTATCGAATTATCCTCTACTTTTTAGCGAAAATGTTCCATTGCATCGAAACTCTGGCCTGTCGAAACAGGGTTATTTTTATTTATGTATTTGATAAACCATGTCAAGTGCATTGAGCAAGGTATCCACTTTATTTATTTCAAAATAACGCTATGACCATCTTCAACTTCTAACTTTATTTCCAAAATTATTTTCCTCTAAAAACCACATGAAACACCCTTTATAATTGTGCTTTAATAACTGTGTCATGTGCATACTTACATATGTATGTCTACTTCTATTTAGGCGCCCTCAACTATTTTCGAACCAAAAATTTTCCACGCTCGATTTCACATGCCTTTAATTCGCCAAATGCCGCCGCATACGATGCGTATTTGTAACACTTTGAACTGGCCAATATTTACCTTTCCGCAATGCTCCAGCTGCTCACTTTCGTCGTCCACATATGTACCAAGAGTAACGGCGCATTGCAGACGCAGCCGGTTTGTAACACAATACGATAGACCACTTGCACGTTGCAGAAGCGAACATAAATGAAAACAGAATTAGAAATACCAGACTAATTAGATTAAATTGTATTTTCCATGTCAAGTTCTACCAAACACAAAATATTGGGTACAATGTATTGGGATTGCAAAGCGAATTCGAATCAGTACGAAATGGACTTTACTTAGAGGCGCGTGCGTCAGAACGAAACACCGTTAGGAGGCCAATTTTCAATAACCTCAAGTGCATTATATAAATATTAGGCCTATTAGTGTGGAAATTTTTGAAAAATTAGAATGAATAACAGCGAATATGGCTTTGAGGTGCATCGAAAATCATACGAGTTTGAGTCGAACTTCGAACATGACTCGAAATTAAGTCCCGATAATTACGAAAGCGCGAGTGAAAATTTACTTACCGATTATGAAATTGTGAGCAACGAGGAGGCTGACGAAGACGAAGATATCGAATTGTCCTATCGAAAATTACGTAGCGAGAAAACTGAAATTCCTGAGTTTCGAAATAGTTTTCATCCAAGCGCAAGTAGTGAACGCGAACGTGGCAAATTGCAATTAAGTTTGAGCACAGAAAAAATATCGTTAAAATCACAGTCGCGAAAAATCGATAAAATAAACGCGTCTCGGGAAACGGAAATTGCGCAGCAACAGCAGCAACAAAAGGCCAACGAGCGGGGCGCACTTAATACGAATGCGGCAAGCGCTAGTGGATTTTGTCCACGGCATAGTAGGCGTCAGCAACCACAGTACCAGCAACAGTTGGATAAAACCAAACCAAAACAATATGCGCCGCTAAATTTCACAATAGTTCCGATAAATGTGGCGACGCAAAAGGGCGCGGCAAGCGGATGTAAACGGTTCGAAGATGGGCGCGATCTGCCGGAAATCGTGCTAACGTCCTTCGATCAACAGCAACAGCAGAAACAAAAGTGGTTGGTGGCAGAGGGAGCGCAGAATACGCCGGTAGCGTCAGCAGAGGAAGCGGTCGCAACGCCAAGGCGCGAAATAGTAGCGGCGAGCGCCCATACGTCGACTCAGGGCAGCAGCAGAGAACATTTGCAGCAAAAACAGCCACAACAACAACAATATCGTAGCGCAATGTTAACAAAAGTGCCAATGACGACTGCCAATCCGCCCACACCACCGCCACTGCCGCCGCCACCAGCTTCGCTTTTACCATCTCTAACGTCCGCAACGACGACTGCGACAGCCAACAAGAAAGGCAAAAAAGTTACACGATTTTCGCGCGCGCCCGAGTTCACCAACGACCACTTTGAGCTGGTACCAGCTTTAACGGCAAAATCACCACCAACAATAACAAATGCGGCAGGCGTCTCACCAAGCGCAGCAGCAGCAAATAAGTTACCGGATGCGGAGGATACGAGTATAAGTGAAATTAATTCACAACCTGGTAGCTCTACCTCACCGGAATCGCTAATGGATAATGTGCTAAGTGCGGCGTCATCGGTGTCGGTACGCAGCAGCAGCCTAAGCAGTGGTGGTGGCAGCGGTAGTGGCGGAGGCGGCAGTGAAATGCTAAAAATTGTTAATGCCAGGGTGCGCGGTAATGTGACACGTAATATGCCACATGTTGCTACTGGTGATGCAATGCCTAAAGAACACCAACGACAACAAGTATCAACACAAATAAAGGAATTGAACGATAATCGCTCATTGAACTTAAAATCGCCCACATCGAGAGGCTTGTCACCAATGCCGCAGCCAGCAGCTGGGAAGCAAAATGCACTCACACCTATTCTTACACCACAAATGTTGTCACCAGCGCGCACTTTGACGCCCTCCCCTTCCACTGTGATGGCGTTGGGCGGCGCAGCGTCGCCGCGCTTGAGTGAAGCGCGCGCACTACAGCCAACCGAACTCATCGAAGCGTCATCAGCAAATCGTTCAAGGTGCGTTGGTACGCATACACTTCAGTGGGTATGCTAAATATTTCACGTGTGCGATTACCGGGATCAAAGGGAGTATACTCGCAGACATGAAAAGGAATGATGTTAGGAAATGGTTGGCGGGGAATTGTGCTAATGAGCTAAATAAGAAATAGCAATGTGAACCATTTTTGCAACAGTGTGTTTTGCGTGCGCGTAGTCAAATGAATGAATGCCTTGTACGGTTTTGCATTACCTTGAACTGTAGAGTGATTAATAACACCGTGGTTGAGCCAAAAAAAGAGACACGAATGCGGTATGAAATTATTATGAAATAGAAGGAGTTCTAGAATATTGTACCACCAGCCGTTTTAACCCTAAACGTCACAATTTGTTTGATGTGTAAATATCTTATCTCGAGACCTTTTCGGGTGTAGTGCAAGGCTATTTCAGGACCTTTTCGGCTGTAGTTTAAGGCTATTTCAGAGCCATTTCGGTCTAGTTCATATCCAGTTAGTAACATTGCTGGCCTAGTTCGGGATCATATAGGGAATACTGCATAATTTGAGGCCCATTTCGGGGTTCGGGGCTATTTCAGGTACATTTTAGGGTTAGTTCTGGCCAATTTTGGTTTTAGTTCAGGACCTATTCGACCCTAGTTTAGTCATACTTTGCGACTAGTTCGGGATAATTTTAGGACTAATAAGGAACCGTTTTGGGATCATTTCAAAACTTGTTCGGCATAATTTGGGGGCCTTTTCAGGACCATTTATAGACTCTTTGAGAACCATTTTGGCACTATTTTCGGGATTAGTACGCGATCATTTTGAAATTAATAAGGGAGCATTCCGGGAACATTTCAAGTAGTGATGTGCGGTTTCGAGTATTTAAAAACCGATTCCGTCGAGTCCGGTTCCAAGGAGAACTGGGCATTCGGGCCGGTTCCGGTGATCAGAAAAGTGGTAAAGGAAATACATAGACACTTTCGAAATAGCTTAAAAATAATTGTTTAAAATGTTTTTACAAAAATTCGATTCCTTTTTATATTTTTGTTTTATGCGTATTTAATTTAAAATATTATTTGTTTCGATTAAAAAACAAGATTTTTCCATCTTGCCGCTGCTCTTTTGACGCATTCAATTCGCAGCTGACAGCGACAGGTCAAAGAAGTTGATGTAAGTCGGGCAGATCGGACATGTGGCGGATATATGATAAAGTGCCTCGAACCGAGCAAAATTTGGTAGGTCAACTTAGAACTCTATAAAACATATATAAAATGTTATCCACCATTTTATGTTAGCGACCATCTTGGATTATTAATTTTTTCATAGTGTACTGTAATCAGTTCAAGCCCTTTCATTTTATACCCATATCGAGAAGGTTGGGAAAAACTATGTAATCCACCATTTTTGGGCGGCGGCCATGTTGGATTTATAATAACGCTGAACATATATAATTATATTGTCGTCAGATCAATAGGTAAATAGGAAGTGGACAAATTTCAATTACTGAAATATGCGTCATTAAATTTTACTATAGACCCTTAAAAACAAGATTAATGGTAAATGTAGTTTTACATGAGATTTTTCAAATAATTATAGATCAACTAGAGACTAAATGAGGAAAACTTCAATAGTTACACTGTAAAACAAAAAAAAATTACGTTCACGGACTAAATGGCTGGTGGTAAAATATTCTAGAGCTCTTCCTCTTTCATAATTGCCATGCAGCATTCAAGTATTTTTTGTATTGGTCTCATTTAGATACACAGTGTAATAATTTCGCTAACAGTGATCGTTTGCTATGAATGCTCTACTCTCTCAACGCCATAATAAAATTTGCAATTCTTTTAAAAAGACACAAGGGTCTAATATACACATAATGAGAAAAGGCGATTTTTTTTTTAACCAATCCCTCTTTTTGTTCTATCCAGAAGTCCATCGCCGAGCCCCAGTGTTTCGATTCGTGTCACACAGGACACCTCATTATTCGCCGACGATTTAAAATGTCGCATTTGCAACGACATTTTTCGTGATCCACGCACTTTGAACTGCTTACATTCGTTCTGCTTTCAATGCTTGGTTGATGAGAACTTCAAGCAAGATTCAAGCATACCATTCTGGTCGCAACCTGGCGCGGACGAGCACGATTGGAAGGGTGAGTAAATAATTATATTTTGGTAATTCCCGTTAGACTAAGACTCATAGCTTTAAAAGTAATTTCAATAGTAATTGCGATACAATCAAATATATATTTCAAAAACCCCGGGAATGGACTTTCGCGGTTTTGATGATGCCAGTCCCGGAAAACTTCACAGCTAAAAGTGTGATTGGTCGGCAGCCAGATAAAAGATTGCCAGCTTGAGAGAAAAGGGTGGGATGATTCCACCTTATCATACTTTAAATAGATGCGACGCAAAGTCGGACGACTTTCTTTTTCCAGCTTAAATCAGGCCCTTGTTTAAATGTTTTCACCATTTCTTAAGCGTTTTTTATAAGTGGTTTTTTGCTTTTCTAGCGAGCTGGATACCAAGCTTTAAGCGTTCTTTATAAGGGTTTCTTGCTTTTCTTGAGAGCTGGATACTAAGCTTTAACCCTTTTAGGACCAAGGGCAAGGGAAACATACTTCCCAAAAAGTTATTCCACTCATATGGATATTGTGTAAATTTTCAATAGTATTTCCTATTATTAGAATGTGCCTCATTAAGCTATTTTTATTAAGAAATTATAGAAAAAATTATTTTTATGAAGATTTTTGGAAACCAGTTTTTGTATTGGAAATATTGTTTTAAGAAAAAGTAACGTAATTTAGGAAAAAACAGTTTTATAGGAATGAAATATGTTTACTCAAATTAAAAAACATTTACCAAAAAAAAAAAACAAAAAACTGTTTTCTTTTTTAAATTTGTTTAAGAATTTTTTTTTAAGAAATTGATGTTTATCAAAATTATAAAAGCTTATGTATGAAAAAAATTATTTGTGGGCAAAAAATTTGTTCTTTGGGGAAAAACAATATTAGGAAAAAAATTGTAGAAAAACAATTTAAAAAAAATACAATAATAGCTTTGGTAAAATTAGCTTTTGGTTGAAATTAATGAAAATTTTTAGGAGAAAATTACTTGTTGCATTGATTTTTTTTCAATGCGAAATTTTTTTTATTTAGCTCCGAGGAATAACATTTTACAATTGAAATCATGAGTTGTTTGATTATAGGCTTATGGTGCTGAGAGGGTTAACGTGGGAGAAATAACGGCTTGCTTTGTTCAGCCTACACTGGTACCTCAAATCTTTTGTATCGAAGAAATCATGATTATTTTTTCCCCACATTATTCAATTTCCAAAAACGCTCGATTCAAAAATTCGGAAGAATGCTGTTTTCTATGTTAATTTATTGATTTTTTATTGGCGCTACAATATTTAAAGCTATTGATATATTTATATATATGTATGTAAGTATGTATGTGTATACCGTTATATATATGTATATACATGCATGTATAAATGAAGAAAGTTTTAAATGTATTTATTTTTATATTTAGAGTAATAAAAATTTTAAATTCTATAAGATGTCTTTATAAATTGAGTAAGTACTTATTACTTGATAGACTTTTATTTTATTAAGTAAATAATTTATTGCATGCAAAAGAGCGTTCGCATTTGCGCCAAACTCTCGTAGTGTAACAAGTGTGATATTACTAAGCTAAAAATTGCTTTTGAATACTTTTTTCTAGTTTCGATTTTTTAGACAAAAAAAAATGATTTTTTTTCAAATATCTTAACTATACTAAGTATATATCTGGAGACTCTTTTTTAGAATATGATAAGAAAGTGATTTAGATATTATGTATATGTATGTTTATATGTCAATAGTTACTAAGTATGTAAGATTAGCTAATATAATTTTCATTATTGGAGTTATTCTTTAGCACACATCGTAATTTTCACACATACGTTTTTTTTTTTGCATGTATGTCAAACGTTTTTAGCGATACTTGTGTGCACAGCTAAAGTTCAGTATTCAGTAGTGATATAGAGAACCGAGTAACCGGAACCGGAGAACCGGGTCTTTTAGAGAATAACCGAAAAACGGTTCTAACGGAACCGAAACTCGATTCCAAAAGAACGGAAAAAAATAAGTAATAAGATTTGAAAAACCAGCGACAACATCAAAAATATCATATTTTTAAATGAAAGCATCACTTTTTTTAATCAAATACTAACGTGGAAAACGTGTGCTTAAATTTAATTTCATGTATTTTATTTTCATGAAATTTTTTAACACAAATATCAATTAAGGAATGAATGTAATATATTTATTTATTATCTTTACTTTACTTTATGACAAAAATAGAAAATAAAAATTTAATTTTTGTAAAAAATTCTTAAAACCTGTTTTGAGAACCGGTCCAAATTCCCGGTTCTCCTCGGAACCGGACTCGGCAGAACCGGTTCTTTAAATACTCGGGACCGCACACCACTATAACTTAATCATGATTAACTCGAATCCGAAAAAGCAGACGTTAAATGCTCTGATCTAAAGTACTCAAGTACATACTTTGCCCAAAAATTCAAGAACAGTCCCAAAAATCAGACTTGCTAGAGGCAGAGCCTACTCCCCTTCACCTCCAAAGGCATCTACGCGGCCCAGATTTACGTAAAACAACCACTGGACCTGACGGCTTACAAATGAAGTAGTTCGTAGTACCAGACACCAACATCGGAATAGACACAAAGAGACTTGGGTTTCCCCTGATCAAAGAACCAAATTAATCACATTGTGATACAGCATTCTTGACGAGTGTTCCATCTGACGCCTTTTGGAAATGCCAAGTGAAGCCAAGACCTTCTGCACTTGATCTTTCCATCGCAGAGGATGCCTTCCTCTTCTCCTGCTACCATCAGTGGGTTCCGAGGCGAATACTTTCAGAGCTGTAGCGTCGATGTCCTTTCGAAATACATGACTGGAGTTGCTGGATCTCAATTTGCAGCGCTGTGTCCATATCGTTGCAAAGCCCTTAAAGCTCATCGTTTAAACGTCTGCGGTTCTCTCCGTCGCCAATGCGTAAAAGCCCGTAAATCTTCCGCAAAGTCTTTCTCTCGAATATCCCAAGGGCCGCCTCATCGGATGTTGACATGAGTGACTGATAGAGCGTGGGTTTTGTACGTAGAGAGAGGACTTTACTTCTCAGTTGCCTACTCAGTCCAAAGGATCACTTGGTGGCAAGGGTGATTCCGCGTTGAATTTAGCAACGACATTATTATCGGTGTTGTCAAAGGAAGGGAGTGTTAGCCGAGCCTCTATTGTACCTGTTGTTTGGGGTTGTTTTTAGGTGGTAAGTCCCAAGTAGGGCACAACCCATTTCTGTGGGGCTTTCGGTTGCTATCCAGAGGATACTTGGTGAAAACACCGGAAGTCGTGAGCTGATGGAACCAGATGTAAAAGAATCGTGTTTACCTACTCTCCGATGAATGGAAATCAAAAACATTCCCCACATGCGTGGCCTTCTGCACCCGGAACCATTTCAGTAGAGGAGCCAAAATCTACTCTAATCACTGCCTTTTTGTCCGTATGCGTCTCTGAAGAACGATTTTCGGGTTCATAACTGGCTCTCAACCGTGCTTAAACTAAGACTCCTCAATGTCCGGATATATATACATATATATAGCAGTGGGATTATAACACGCATTCCCTTCGTACCGCTGCGATTGAACACTACCGGAGTAATATGGAGCATACAAAGACATATTGCAGCCATTTAATATGCTAGCGAAAATTTAACGAGAGAGGAGGAGGAAAGAGAGACAAGATAAGAAGAAGATAGTGAAAATTAAATGAAGAATTCGATGGAAGGCGAAACAGGAGTCCGGCTTACCGAGTCTCCACGCAAATCTATCTGAAGACGTATCAGAAGAAGTAAGGTTACGTTCAACGCCGCCGAACCTACATACATATAACAGCGCAGAGTGCTAAAATTTCCCAACGATGTTGCGTAGGCTTTACAATGTATTTCAGGACCATTTCACTACTAGTTCGGGATCAGGACTAGTTGGGCATAATTTTCGGGCTAGTTTGGGAACATATCGGGAGTAGTTCGAGATCATTTCGGCTCCGCTTCGGGACCAGTTCAGGCCTATTTGAGGTGTATTTCGGGATCATTACGGGACCAGTTCAGGAGCAGTTCGGGCTACTTCACGACTTTTTGAGGACCATTTTGGGAGTCGATTTGGACAATTTCGAAACTAGTTCAGTACTATTTTGGGACTCATTTTAGATCATTTGGGAATAAGCAGTTAAGGATGTTTTTAGGACTATTTTAGGACACGTTCGGGATTGTTTCGGGACTTATTCAGGACCATTTCGGGTCTAGTTCCCGACTGTTTGTAGACCATTTTGGGAGTAGTTGTGGACCATTTCAGGATTAGTTCGAGAGTATTTCGGGATCGTTACAGGACTTGCTCGCGATCAATTCGGGACAAGTTCACGACTTTTTCCGAATCATTTCGGGTTAGCTCGAAACTAGTCACGTATTGATTCTGAAATGGTCCTAAACTATTCCCGAAAAGATTATGAAGAAGTCGTCACTGGTCCCTATAAAGTAAATAAAATTAAATGAAATTAATAGTTAAATTTTCACCTAATATATTTATGTATGTATGTAACGCAATCGATTAATGTTTTTTCAAGCCGTACCCCTTTGATATATAAAAAAATCGGTTAGTGAAACAGAAAATACTGCAATTTAGCCGTACGCACAAATTTTGTTGATAACTTTTTTAGTACCTAGGCATATATAAATACGTATCTGAATGTATGTATTATGTAAATAAGTATAAATATAAAGTTTCTAATGCACAGCAAAATGTTATTTGGCTCTCTTCTAACCATTCTAATATGACTTCAATATCTACCGATAATAATTACGTACTAAGTATATTATGTAAATATTTGCTATCATCTATTTTTAAAGAAAGTAACATGACCACTGTACTATAGTTGCTGGCATATAGCCACGGGCTTTAGCTAAGTGTAATTTATATGTATACTCATGTAAGTTTTTGACTACAAAAGTTGTAAATTTTATGCAGATAGTTTTTCTTTTACATTTTTTTTTTTTACTTAAGTAGTTTTGAAATTGCTTGTAACATGTCTTTATGTATTCTTACTCATGTACTTTAATATGAGTATGACTCTTCTAACATACATACATAAATTTTTATTTTCAACAAATCGTATTATTCAAAAATTCATAACAACTCGGCTGACCGGGAACAGCAACAGCGGCCGCCTCATTACGTGTCTTTAAGAAATTACCCACCCAGTGTGTAGTTAAATCTATATACTTAGTTTTGGCACCAGGATTATAGTCTAGAAATCCAGCTTTCGGAATGACCTCCTCAATTTGACTGCCATCCGGCCAGTTATTGTAGCTGGCTATGTTAATGAAGCCAACGTGATTGAGAATCGCCGTACGCCAAGCGACACCATAGTACTGTAAGGAAAGTGAAGTGGGATTGTTTAACGCAAATATGAAATATTTGAAAGTTCAAAACTTCACAATTTTCCGGATTTTACTAGTTAATTTTTTGAATTCCTCAAAACCTAGTCACTAAAATGGTTCTGCTCTCGTTTTAAAGGTGATATTTGGGGCTATATAAAAATATGCATATGTACATATGTATGTATATATATTAAAAAAAAACATGGAAAGATACAAAAACATTGCAAAAGCTGAAATTAAAAAAAACTCGTAAAAGCCAAAACTTAAATGAATTTTTTGCATTCTCAAATGTTTTTTTAATTTTTTAATTTTGAACTTTGAAAAAAGGATTTTAGTGCAAACTATGAATTAAAACTAAATTTAAATTAAATAAAAATGATTTAACATAACGTTATTTAGAATTGGCAAACAAACAAATTTTCAAATTTCGAAAATTCATATTATTTTACAAGTTGTTCCACTTGCGATGATTTAATTTCATAATTCTGTAATTTTTTTTTGATTTTACTATTTTTTTAATATATTTATTTTATGACTCTTAATATCATCTTTAAAACGAGACCAGAACAATTTTTGCAACTATGTAAAAGAGCTTTTGAGATAATACTTAAAAAATAAACTTGCAAAATCTAAAAAATTGTAAAATTTAGAATTTTGCATAACTTTCAAAAAATAGATTTTAAATTATTTTCCATAGGCAAAATTTCGTTATATCATAAAGGGAAATTCATCCAATTCAAAAATGGTCGATTTGGCATGGATTGACCCATGTAGAGCTTCATATTCGAATTTTCCATTTAAAAAAGATGAATACATTGTTGGTTTAAATTCTCTAACAATTTACTTGTATTTTCATCATATTTGTTTTGATAAAATCTCTCACTTACCCTCCCATTGCTGCGATGCCTTTGTATATCACCATGCCGTGGAAATTTATTTCGCTCTGCAAAACCTGGTCCCACAGTTGGCACAAATAACATTTTATATGTCATTGCGAATGATTTCAAATAGGACCAATTCTTCCAGGTGCTCGCAAAGGTGGCGCCATTACTCGGCAATTTACTGTAGAAGCCCTCGAAACAAAGTCGTCGCATAATATCAACGTGGTTTTTGAGTCTGTACAGAATATAAATGAATTATGATTCAATTTTTCAAAGTGAATACATGTTTGTTTAAACTGATGTTCGTTCAGCTTAACCGTTATTCCTATATGTATGTATATCAATGTAAAATAAAATAATGCGTTCCAGGTCGAAAAAAGCACACACTAAAATATTTCAACATCAACTTTGTTTTAATTGTTATATACATAATATAGTATCTATATGTACATATGTATGTATGCAGGGTCGCCAAGAGAAAATTCGTGCACGGTAGTAAATATAAGCGGGCCCCATCCTCACAAAAAATTATAATTTTTAAACGAATTTCCAACGTTCTCTCTACATCGTTATTGACTGCTTCTGAAAAATAAGTACCCCTGCTAGTCTAGTGTAGATTTATCTATAAAAACTATTATGACACTTTTGTTATTAGGGATTACTATATCTGAGATATATTGATTCATAATTTTAGTAAAATCATACAATTAAAAGTTTCACTTCAATAATTCATTTGAATTATTAAACAATTTGAATTTATCTTTTTAAACTGGTGGCATCCCTGTTCAAACAACTCAAGAATTTTTGAATCGCTCTAACTGAAGATTTATTAAAATGCTTTCGTTTGACACTTACATTTTAATATTTCACTGCGAACTCCCTGCCCTCTGCAAAAGTATTTTCAAACTAAAACTTTATAAAACATTCGTTTGACATTGTGATGCATATGTATTTCAATTATCTGATAAATTATGTTGAATTTGACATTTTAAACAGGTGGCAACGTCCTAAACGTGGTTTAAAAATAAAGCTTTTCGAAACCATTTTAATTCAAACCCATATCAAATATCTCATTTAACTTTTTAAATAATTTGAATTTAATTTTATTTCTAACAGATAGTAAGTCTGTTCAAAAAACTGAAATCATATTGCACATCTACAGGTAAAGTCCTTTAATTTGACGCCTCATTTGTGAAAGTCGAACAAACGTTATATTGGCGGTTGTTTTAACTGGCATAGAAATGACTGTACACCATTTGCATGTATGTGTACGTAAAAATGTGCTTTCGCATGTATTAGTACTCATAATACGAGTAGCTATGTGAATATAAAATAACACTGTAGGAACGCTAAAACAAAAACAGAAACACAAAAAACGCCGAAGCACGTAAACTTATTTTTGTATCGTAGAGTTCGAATCTGTATACCGTTTTTTTATATCCGATCACTTCCCCAAGATGTTTTTATTTTACGTTTGCATTGTGAATTAAAAACGCCATGTACTATGATGGCCATGAACATGGCGAATGGGTAATATTCTCTCGTGCTCATATTTCATCCAAATCAATACACTTTTTCATCTGCTATTTTTTTAATTTTTTCCCTGTTGAATTTTTTTCGCTTTGAACTCATACTCATCTGTTCGTCATAAGAACCAGGGTTGTTGCGAATATTTTTCCGAAAAAAGTCCTTTCCGGATAATAAACAAACCACCTGTCCAAATTTAACAAATTTGGTATCATATGAAAGTGAACTGATTTTAGCAATTTTAATTGGTAATACTTGCAACTTCATTTTCGGAAAAATACGGGCCCCTTTAAAAATTTGGCCCTGGGAGAAACACAACCGCCACTCTAGTCGTGTGTAGATTAATACCTACGGATAACAGCGGTATATAATCAATCATTCAGCGTCTCGGTTAATAGATGGTCACGTATGATGGATGCCTGGATAATCGAGGTTCAACTGTACAACTGATTCCAAATTTTTGGAAATTTCTACTTAGGTGGTAACCTTATCCAAAATTTATTTTTTTTTTATTAACAGCTTCTTAACCTTTTCCTTATGGGTATATCGTTACCTTAATATAGAAAGGGCTTATATCACCTCGTCGCTGAAATACAAAAGAAAGACTAACTAAAAATTCAAAATTCACTTTTGGCTAATTATGATGCAACACAAAAATTTAGTTAGTTATGAATGTAATGATATACTTTTCATATATAGCATTTCAGTTTAAATGAAACCTTTTAAGAAACCTTTTTCAGGTTAAGCGAAACCTTTTTCAAATTAAATAAAACATTTCTCAGATTCAATGAAACTTTATTCGAATTAAATGAAACTTCCTTTTTAGGTTTATTGTGAATTCGCTGTTACGCGTTGCACTTCTTTACTGTCAAGGCATATTGAATAAGTTATAGCAGTAAAACAGTTTGTTTATTTTTTTCATATTCATATTCACCAACAGATTTCTTCTCTTTCTACTACGAATTAGTATTATTCAGGAATCCAAAGAAATGAGAGATACCCAGTGAGAAAAGTAGTAATGCATTACATGCGTGATAAATGTAATGTATTTCTTATGAGTTCTAGATTCTATTACTGTTTTATATGTAATCAGCAATGTAATGCATCCAAAAAGTCGAAAAAAATTCATATTAAATTACAATCATTTCTGCATTACTGGTAATGCAACATGGAATGCCTCTTTTTCGCCATGGGAAAAATAATGCATTTTCGAATGTGAAAACGCCTGTTTTACTGATTATTTTTTGGATTACCATACATCACATTTTCCCACTGGGTATGGTGGAGATTTCACTGCGACAACTATACGGCTGTTCACTTACCACCGACCGCTTTGCCGTCGTCCGCTGTAATTCTGGGTAGAGCCAGAGCTATTTATGTGATTTTTGGTAAAGCATGGATCATGTTTTTATAAAAAAAAAAAATAACAAAAAAATTTTACCTGAAAAACATTCTAAATATTAAAAACAAAATTCAAAAAAAATTCAAACAAATTCAAAATATATAATTTTTTCATCCTTTTTGTCCTTATTTGAGTCAGCAACAATGTTACATTCGTTTTCTTTTTCAGGACATTAAATTGTAAGTGAATTTAAAACAATTTGCTTAGTAAATTTCTACACCCAAATTAATAAAAAAAAATAAAGAAGACTTTAACTGCTTTATAAACTGAAAATATCACTTTATAGAACTCTATAAATCTATTTCATTTTTTTTAGGAATAAGGCCACTAGTCTTCAGATAGCCTACACATACACTCCCACACACACACACACACACATACACATACACAAACCAAAACTTACCTAATATGCCCAATAAAGTATGCATCAAAAATGCGACGCAAGCTTTCAGGATGCGTTTGACACAGCGCACGTCCTGCTGGCGTTTCGCTCAACTTGTAAGCATTGCTTACGTAAATCAGCGGCACTAAACGCTTACGCGACAACGAATACACGCGATAGAAACTCTCAGCGGTGGAGTAGCGACGCACTGCCTCCAGTTGTTGTTGCAAAAACTCCACGCTCTGATTGCCGGCCACGCTAATCTCGAAAGTGATGCTCAAATTGTAGGCGGGCGCCAACTCCAACAGCTGCTGATAGAGTTCCACCTCGCCTGCCTTGCCGCTGCAGCTGAGTATGAGCACGCCAATGCCGCAATTGCGAATATTATCGAAATGCTTCTGCAGCAAGTTGGTGGTGGGCTTGTACAACCCCAGCGCCGGATAGAAAGCGGTGTTAAGTATACGCACTGGCTTCACAGTGGCTGTGGCCGCAGTCGATGTCAGCAGCGGTTGGACGGCATCGGAAACATCGTTCAGCAGTTCCTTGGCAGCGCCACGCAACTGCAACTGTGGCACGACTGGTGGCTGTTGTGACTTTTTTGTTTTATACCAAGCGACAGGCGCGCTATAGAAGATATGCACACCCGTGGTGACCGCATCCAGTGTGGTGTGCTCCTCACCCGGTTCAATGGCGTTGCGTTGCTGCTGTTGCTCCTGCTTCAGCTGCTGTAGGCGTTGCTGGGCAATGCGCGCTTTCACCTTGTGCTCATCATATTTCTCTGGCACAATGATGCCATTTTGGCGGGGCGACTTGAGAGGTGGCTGCTCCAAGCGACCACTGCCAGCGCCAGCGCCAGCGCCACCGCTGCCAACGCCAACGCCAACGCCACTGCCGCCATAGATGCGCGCTATAAAACGCTCATCGAGCACACGTTCAGTGGAGCTTACATTCGGTGAAATATTCAGCACAACTACAGTCACCACAATTAGCACAATGACCATGAGCAGGAAAAGAATTTTCAACTTTCGACGATTTTTTAAATATTTTTTTAGTAGCATTTTTTAGCTGCGTTTGCAATTGATTCAGCATTTTACAAGCGATTGCGGTTGAAGCGGCAGCAGCGAGAGCAGCCCCGCGCACGGACCGAGTGAACGAACGACTGGCAAAGACTGTTGGCGAGTTGTCGACGGCTGCTGTGTAGTCCTTGTGGTCGTTGTGGACTATTAAATCGCTAGCTTACTTACATTCCTTCATTGCGTGTGTGTGTGTGTGCGCGCGTATGTGCGTATGTGTGTGTTTAGTGCGAGGCACTCGAGCGTTTTATTTTTAATGTAGAGCGTTCTGTAATGCGCTACTTCCTCTTCCTCTTCTTCTGTTCGTTTTTTGTTTTTGTTTTTGTTTTTGCTTTTACCTTGCGTTCTACATAATTAAGCTCGCATCTGCTACTTCTGATTTTCTTTATTTCTATTTTCAGTATTTAGTGCTTATCTTTTTTTACCGCATTCCTTTTTAGCACAACCCCCTTAGTGTATTTATTTGAGAACTGGTGTAGGTATGCATGCGCACTTTTATATGCCCAAATGTGTTCAGTTGTTGCTTTATGTTTTACCCTGTGTATTAGTGTGTACCATGTGCTTCCTGTTTATGCTTTTAGCTCGAGTGAATTCCTTTATTCCACTGCCGGTTTGTTATTGTTTACATTCAGCGCGCATACTCGCTTCCAGTGAGAGAAAACTGCGCGAAGAAAAGAGAGATACAACAAATGTACTGGAATGTAATAATAATAACCACTCCGTAAAAAACCATTGCTATACCCTGTAAAAAAAGTTCCAATCAAATGAGGTGCATCTCAAAACATCAATTATTAAAGTAAACCCAACAAACACAAAAAAAATATGTCTCTAACTTTGGCGTAAGGCATAGTTCTCAAGTTGAGGTCCAACATCATTCTCCAAATCATCTCTAACGTTGCACTGGAAGTTGAAATGAGCTTGAGAAAAATAATTTTCTCCAACATGACAGCGCTGTTTTTAACAAAAAAAAAACAAAAAAAACATATAAGTGTCAGCGTGCAATCCAGAGGGCTCATTTTCACTACCATGTGGCAAGTTAACTCAGCGTTTTACCATTTAACTATTTCTAAGCCAGTTTATGCAAAGTTTGCCGACCAATAAACACTCCTAAATTCAGTCACTCTGATCTCGGAACAGTGTTTATATCATTTGGGAGTCATGGGCAATATACTGGCAGATATTAGACTATTAGGTATGTTAGAACAGACGTCTTTGGCCGCGCTAACTAGGAGAACTAGACTTCCTCCCTGAACATTCAATCTCATCTCCCTCAATAAAGTCTCCATTAAAACGGAATGTTAATCAAGTATGGATTTAATAAATTAGGACTTTTACTACAGGAAAAGTCTATGAAATACCTACCAAGCTCTCGGTTTATGTCCAGAGCTCCTTTAACTAATATGAGTCTCATTTATTTAAGTATTGTCTTCTCGTTATAAAAAGAAAAAACCCTTCCACTTACTCCGATAAAATCTGCCAGACTACCTCCTTTTCCTAAGCAGTCCATCAGGTATCCAATTTTCTGCAATATCATTGGAGTCTAGTTAGAAATTATTTAAATGCGATCGCAAGGGAAATGAAGTAATACGCTCCCAATTTTTGGTGCATCGTAATAAGTCCAAAGACCTAATTGCGCCCGACCCTCCGAAAGGTTGTTGATCTGCCTAGACGTTCTAATAGGCGGCATACACAGTGCGTCTGACTCTCGAGTCGGTTTGGATGTAATTGCGAAAATAAATATGTGTTAGTTACACCGACAGGAATGACCTGGAATGACTCTGAATGATTCAACTGTGGGTAGTCGAAGGCGAGTCAACACGTACACAAATGACTCGCAAGTCAGATGCATCGTGCATGCCGCCTATAACACCTTAATCCAGCTGACCTTAGGAGTTACAGTAGTTAGAGTCCATCTCTTAGCGATATCAGAATATTTCTCCTTAAAATTTTTTGATGAGAAATAACTTTCGTCCGTATAATTGCAGCCTAACATGGTACTAGTGTAGCCTCTTATCGTTGTTGCGAATAACCTACAAATATTTTTAATCGCTTAATCGTTAGACTTGTTGTGACAGATAGAAACAGAAGGAACGAAAAATTACACCAAAAACAGCACGATGCCGAAACCTTGGTTTTACATATATGCTCGATATGGGCAAAATTTGCGTAAACCAAGACCAACTTAGAAGTATTAGAAATGAAAAGAAGTCTAATTAGCTTTTCTAGAAACACTGCCGGACCATTTTAAGTCTGGTTTTGGACTCTTTCGGGCTAGTTCGGGACTAGTTCGGTATTAGTGTGGGCCTAGTACGAGACTTGTTCGAATATAGTTCGAGATTAGTTCGGGACCAGCTTGGGACTAGGCTTAGTCTAGTTGTGTCTATGACTAGTTTGGCACTAGTTCGAGACAAGTTCCGGATTATTTGGTGACATCATTTCGAGACTAGTTTAGGACTAGTTTAGGACAAGTTCGGAAATAGATCGAAATAAGTTTGAGGCTGTTTTGGAACTAATTCGGTACCAGTTTCGTTACTAGTTAAGTACTTTCTCGGATCTAGTTTGGGGCCAGCTCGGGGCTAGTCCGGGTTTAGTTTGGGACCATTTCGGAACTAGTTCAGGACACAGATGTTAACATATCAAATTTCATGAGTACGTAACACTCACGCCTTTTGTTTTAAGTGGTACTAATTAAGTTGAATATTCTACTTGCTGTGATGTTTAAAAAAATATATAATACTTTACTTTATTTACTTTATATTTAAAGCATTTCTTATAATTTCCCCATTTAAAAGCTTCCAACAAGTCCAACTATAGCGTGCAATCCTCCTCTCCCGACATGTCGGTGCGCAGCGGTTCTACTTCACCTTCACGAACACGCCATTCCTCTTTCAGTTTTAAACGTAAAAAATCCTTCGAACGGATTTTACTAAAAGTAAGGGTGAGTAAAGCATTAAATATATATAAAACGATAACAAACTTACTGCTACACACATTCCCAGTCCAAATCGGATGGCAAAGGCTCGGAAAGTTCTTCCTCTATACGCATGAGCGCAGCGCCCGAAGAGCGCTTGCGACACATCAGCTGCAAAATATGCAGATATGCGACCGTAATACCGGTGGGTGGCATACGCCAAATGCCGCAGAACTATTTGCTGGTGCGCAAAATCGAAACGATCAAACAGGAAATGGGCGATGAAGTCATAACGAAGGTTTGGTGCAGTCTATGTTTCGAGGAAATAAATGTGAGTGGCAAGAGGAAGCATTTTTGCATTTTAAGAACTGGTTTTGTCTTCATACGCCATAGTCTACTTTTAGGCAACCTACCACTGCATCAGTTGTACGCTAAATCTGTGCACGCTCTGCAAGGAGGCACACGAGCGCCAGCGCAACACAGCCAATCATCGCATCCGAAATATTATGGAGCTGAGACGCGCGCGTAAAAAGCAGCAAACACTCAGTGAGGATAATACGAATTTTACACTTAAGTGTGGCATGCATCCGGGCTTCGAAATGAAGTCGTTCTGCAATAGTTGTTTGCAGGTATGTGAGCAATGTGGAAAATAAAATTTTCTTTTTACTTAAAGTTTTTTTTTTGGGAATCTTTTTCGCAGATCGCCTGCGCCGACTGTCTTGTGTTGCTGCACAAGGGCCACCGGCATGAGTCCATCCCAAAAGCTTTTACCAATTACTCGAAACTGCTGCACGACGCCGTCGATCATACGCGTCCGCTCTGTAGCTATGCAGAGCATTCAATTGAGCGTATGAGCGAGATTGCCAAGCGCATAAATAAAAAGTGTGATGACATACAAGCGCAGATAGAGACTTTCACGCGTCAGTACTTCGAAGCGGTCGAAGTGCATCGTAAGACATTGCTACAACAGGTGCACCGCGCCCGCGAATCCAAAGTGGAGATGATACTCGAGCAGCAGCTGGATTTAGGTGGGTGTTGCAAAGTGCACTGCTGTATGTGAGGAAAAAATATTAATTAAGTAATGTTGTTTGCTGATTTTAGAAAAACGCAATAACGAATCCATTGAGGCATTGCGCTTTGCTCAGGAGCTGACAGAAAATGGTTCCGATGTTGAAGTGCTCTCTTTTTTGAGTATTTTGCTAAAACGTTTCGAATATTGTCAGCAATTTAAAATGCCCGTCGATCCAAAGGTACCTATTGCTACTTATATTAATTCATTCGCCTAAATAAAATTTTATTGCAAATCTATATAGAAAATATAAATTTGTTTCGAAAGGAGAAAGCACATATTCTCATTAGCATGCTCAATTATTTATCTCGAAGCCAAGTAACTTCCGAAATAAATATTTGTAGAACTAGCAATTAATACATAGCATATTGTGGGACTCCCAAATGTAGATCTCTACGTCTTAGCTTCCGAATTGATGCCTTCCTAAATCTTCTTCCCAAATCTTCTTGAACATTCCGTTGTTTGCAAGTTGTGAACAGCCTTGACCTCACTTCGATCCCTGGCCTTAGGGGCATACAGGTAAACCGCATGGCAGATGAACTTGCAAGGAAAGGCACAACCAAGTAGATTCTACCCCTTGTACAAATAAGCTAAAAAAAGATGTAGTCAAAGTACGACTCGCCGAATTTTCAGGCAGACGTGGCTCGGATTGCCTTTCCGAAGATGTTGCGGAAGCTGCAAGGACTACGAAGAGGAGGAAATGGTCATACATTTCCTATGTAAATGCACTGCACTGTTTAGTGGCAGGATGCGTCATCTTGGTTCACCGTTCCTAGCCTACCTTAGGGAGGTTTCAAATACTGACGCAGGTTGCCTGATGAGATTCATCAGCGGCACGAAGTGGTTTAACAGGGAGGATAATTGACCGGTGTCAAACTGTGGTAACACAATGACTCTTCTATCTTTGGCCTAAGTGTGCCGCTAAGGTCGAGGTCAAGCAATGAGCAGTAAAGCGGCGAGCGGCTCATCCTACCTACCTACCAATGTTTGTTCGGATTAACGGCGCTGTTGATCGCGAATTAACCGAGCCGCGACGTAGTGGGTTCGAATCTCACGACCAGCATATTTTTTTTTTTTTTATAACTTATTTTTTTTTATGGAATTATACATAGTTGTTTTAGTTTTTTTTTATAAAACAACTCTAAAAAACTAAATGAACTTAAAATATTAATAATAAGACTTTGGCTAGGTATCTGGCCGAGCTTCACCTCCAAGTTGGGCTGTGCGTCCTGATGTTATAACACAAATGGAGGGACCAACAACTTTTCGCCGCCTCCGATCGGCAAAAGGTTTTCATAAGACGCCTTTTCAAGGCAGAAATTGTCTTGGTATTGCCTGGCGTGAGGCGACAGCTGGTAGAGAAAACTTTTTCTAATTTATATATGGCGCGGACTACACTCAGCCACGAAACTAACAGGACAGCTGGCGCTACGTTCTGCTCGCTCTAGTACCGATAGATGTTTTTGTTGAAAATTCAGCTGCTAACAGCGCAATCAGATTACGGGAGTTCGATTGAGGACACTGAGGACACTTAATTGTGGTTAAGTTTTGATGTAAAAGCGTTGCCCAGCGACAATATCATCTGATTTGGTAGATTATCCAATTATCGATTTCTTTGAGTATCTTCCTCTAACCAATCCAGTGCAGAGAGTGTTTCTTTTCCTATACCACAGATGGGCTCTGGGCCTATGGAAGGGGTTGGTGCTCCTTTCTTCGCAAGTTTATCAGCAATCTCGTTTCCTTCAACACCAATGTGTCCCAAAATATATAGATAAGTATTCAGCTTATCAATGTATTCCATCACCAGTTTAGATATTAGAGATCTGAGGCCTTGGTAGCCGATTGGCTGCAGTAAAGATCGCGATTGCTGCGATTCCGGTAGTTTTGCTTGATATTAAAGTCCGCGCATCTTTTCTATGGCATTTGTCACAGCCTGGAAAATGAACACATGTTTTCTCATGGGTTTCGAGCGTCTTAACCTTTGTTTAACTAGACCTACCCCGGTACCATGTTAAGTCGATGAGCCATCTGTGCACCAGGTTATCATATTTTAGCTTATCCGACTTGACTCAGCCTGCCCAGCTGTTCTTGATGCTCAGACCAGTTTTAAACGTCTTTGTAAAGCTGCACCTCAGATGCATGGTACCCCTTGATATTGAAATTTTCGGGCACTTCTTCGTCATAATATCGAATTTCCGACGACTAAGGAACCCTTCTACCCCGATATTGGTAACAGTCATCCTTAGTAACTATCCTTTCGCCTTTTACAAGAATGCGGTTGGAGAAGTTCTCATGGCTCCAATTTCGCACCTACTAGCCTTTGTGTCTTGGCGAGCCCTTTGATTGTCTCAAGTTGTGTAGTTCTATCGAGCCAAAATGATGGTTCCATAAGCTATCATGGGTCGTATTATTGTCGTATACATCCATCTCAGTATCTCTTGTGAGCATCCCCAGCTCTTTCCTGCCATGGACCTGCAAGTCATAAATGATCTTACAGATTTCTTTGCAGACCAACTCACTTAGACCTTTTGAAGTTCCATTGTGGTATCACTGCAGAGTACGGGAACCTCGGCGACTATTCTTCAGGAAACCATTTTGATGCTCTTATAAAGCGTAGGATTAGTTTTTTTTGCTAGGCTTGATAATTCCGTAAGAGAGCGGAAGAAGGGCATACCTAAAAAAGCCTGCTCTCCTCTTGGCAAAAGCTGGGCAACTACAGAAGAAGTGCTCTACGGTTTCTTCCTCTTACTCGTTTCTGAAACTACTCTAATATTCGAAGGAAGTATATTCCCAGTCTTGAAGAGTGCCTGCCAAAATGCCAATGACCGTTTACACAAGCCGTGACCATCGCAATACAATCTCTTGAGAGGCTGAGCTCTTTCGTCTTTGACCTGCTGGCCTTTTGGATCATACTATTTCGGAGTTCTAATTTTCGGGTTGCCGGGTACTTAGGTAAAAAAACTTCTAGCACTTTGTTAAACTGGTATTCTATAAGCCATTCTCATTCGGAAACATACTGTCGTTTCTCATGATTTATATTCAATTCTCAATTTTCATCTCTCATCTGTCATTCCAGATATCGGAAACCTTACACTTTCTACCCCACATACGTGCGCCTGCTATGAAAGCGCAAAACGATATACCACTTTACGGTATCATAACAATGCAAACAGTCGAATCTTCACTATGCACGCTGCAGTGGGAGGGTAAGTGTTGGAAACTTTAAATATTCACAGTAAATCTTAAAAGTGTCAGTTCACACTACATACATTTCCCCAGGTTTCTCACAATTACGTCTACACAAGCGTGTCGAGCTTTTGCTGCAGTCGCGTGACGCTGATGGCGTGGGCTTATGTCACGGCGGCTTACAAATACAGGCGCTAGTAAAGTACAAAGAGTCGAGCTCTAAATGTCTGCCAGTTGAGGTTGGAAACGAACTTTACTTGCTTTAAAAATATATATATATATATATCCTTTTTTCCCCCCAGATTGCTGATAATCGTGATGGCACATATGGAATCGGTTTTACGCCCGACGCGGAGGGCAATTTAGTGCTAACTATAAATATAAATGATAAACCGATTAAGGTAGGTATATTACGTCCATAAAATGTAAGGAAGTAGAGTCCTTTGGTTTTAAAACTTAAACTGGTTTAAAACTAAATTCCCAGTGTGAAAATTTTAAGTTAACTGCCGAATGTTAACTCTCCACTGTTAAAACCTTAGTGCTTACAACCTTCCTTTATGTATTTACTTTCTCTTTTTTTCTTCACAGGGCAGTCCCTTCACTTTCCTCGCACGCAATGTACGCCCGCACAGTGGCATCTATCATTGTTGCACCTTCTGCTCGAGCAAGGGTAATAAGATGGTAAAATGTTCCTGTGACGGTCGTATGCCGGGTTATAATGGTTGTGGGCATGGGCATGCCGGCCATCCAGGTAGACGTCATTGGTCATGTTGTGGTAATGCCTTAGAGAATTCCGAATGTAATGCGTCGAATAAGTTGTTAAATTTATGAGCAATCCAATCACTGATACCTAATCGGTGAGAAATATACTGATTTAATATATCAACGAAATAAATATATACTACTTATTAAAAAAATAAATGTCGGCAGAAAAAATACTTACATTTAGGAAATGACTAAAAAACTAGAAGGCTCTTAAATGGAGTCTTATGTAAAAGTTTAATGAAGCATTGACTTTCGGCACCATAATTGATTCAAAATTCCAATAGGACATGAAACTGATAGTCATACCCTCTTCAGACCTGGGTCGATAATATCCTCAGTCGTATGGAGTGTGTCACAGATCAACATTTCACCGATCCTTCAGTCAGTTCATTGCTCTGGGCTCCATAGTTTCCTGGTAGTTGTTTCATAAGTTCAGTTTTGCTCCTCTGCAGTATTTAACCTCAGTTAACATTCTTGCATATTTTCTGAGGATGTGGTATCCGTGCCACCTATTCTCAATTAGCTATTCCACAGCAGTAAACCTCGGATTGAAAAGCTGTTAGCTTTAAAAGAAAACTTAAAGTTAGAAAGAAAACTTTAAGTAAGCTGAGAAAAATGTTTGAAGAAACTTTCAGTCAAATCTCTATGTAGAATGCGGTCCAAACTGTCTTTTCAACCATAAAAATGCAAAAATTCCATACAAATCTTCCCTTACCCCACACTGGGTTTTCTATTGCAATAGGCAATTGGTCTATAGTTTTTCAGGCTAGAAAGGTAGAATGGAAACTAGAAAAGAAATAATAGAAACTGGTTTCTTAGTTATCTTTTCAGACAATCGAGCGACAATTAGGTCGCTTTCAGATAGAATGATCTCATCCATCCATCTAACCCGTTCCCGACAAAACGTTTAAAGTAGGCTCGACATCCAATCTCGTGGGTCCGGCCATAACCGACGGCGTTCCCACATGCTCTGATTTGGGCTGTTTAGAAGAGACAGATGACTTTGTCTAGATCAAAACTAATGCATTCTAATTCCTTTAGATATGATCAGTTAAGTTTGTAAGGATACTTTTAGTATTATCTATGGAAGCTTGCGGTATCTTGAGTTAGAGAGTTTATCATCGAGATAGAAATGATCTTCTAGACCGAATGCGCCTTGTACTGTTTTGATATAACAACATACATATGTAATACAAGTTCAAATAATATACAAAAGTACGTATGGAGTCTACGACTTCGTGGAGTTCAGTTTATGTTGACAGTGCCTTCATATATGTATGAATATGTATGCCGGCCTATTGATATTGAAGGTCCTCTTAGTATGGATCTTATGAAAATGTCTACAACCCTATCTAGCTCTTTCAGCATGAAGGACCTCTCTCCGAATTTGTACAGAGAATGGCCTTAAGAGATTGCCAGCTTTAAAAGCCCTTTCCCGCCGGGAGTAAGGTGCGTTTTCAGAGCATCATCAGTAGCAGTGTTGCCAGTTTAGTACTTTTGGAGCTAGATTTAGCTCTTGATCGGGTTTTAGCTCGAAGCTCTTTTCTTAGCTCTTTTCAAATTCATGTAGCACTTTTTTGGATCCAGAAAGTTTTAGTTGTATTTGGTATAAGCCAAAACTTAAGCGTTGATGAAATTGAAAATTTCGAAATGCAGTGTATCCACCATAAACTCTTGGATCTAGGTTAAAGAATTCAAAAATTAATTAAAAGAATATAATTTTTCTGATAGCGCAGATTTTGTTTTACCTTACTAGTTTTACTTAAGATCAATTGAAAAAAAGAACAATGAATAGAAAGCAATTTTCAAAAAGAGAAGGCCCATAAATAGTGGATTTGATGTTTGTGCGGATTAAAAAAGCTGCAGGCCTTCAAGACGAACTTATTATAAATTACCTTATCTTAATTGATTCTTTTGTTATGTACATACATGTGTACATCGCGAAGAAAAAACAAATATGAAATGTACATTTCCTATAATAAATTTTATTTCCACATTTGAAGTATAATTGATAAATAACCTTTGAAATTGACTTGAGAGTTAACCATATTCTCAAATGGAGATCAAACCCCTTTTTATTGACAAAGCTGTAATTCTCAAATCAATATCAAAGCATTTTCAAACGTTTGACATTTGAGAGAGGCTTTGATTTCAAATCGAAATGTATGCACCTTATTTCGGTTTAAAAGATTTTTTCATCACTTAAACTTATAAAATTCGTTGTTTTTATTAAAATTGGCGAAAATGTAAAAACAACCTTACGTCAATAAATGCGCAACCTTAACAAAAATATGTAGCTCTTCATTTTAGCTACTATTAGTATTATTTAGCTCTTTTCTTCGGCCGTTTTAGCTCCAAACGAAATTTTTCTCTGGCAACACTGATGAGTAGAGTGGTCCAAAAAAGAGTAAAGTCGGAATTTGAATGCCGCCACCTCCTAGGATTTTTCTACACCGAAAAAAAATATACCGATATTTATTTAGTTTGAAATAAAAATAAATTTAGAGAGTGCTCAAAGCGCTTAAAGTTTTCCATGTATTTCATATAAGAAAAAAACACTTTTCGTAGAAATGGTATAGAATTCTTGAAAATCAGTGGGGCGTATTCTGGTTTTCGTACGAATCGAAAATTTGAAATTTTTGTATAGAAAATTATAGGAAAATTTCATGATTTTCGATTCGTACGAAAACAAGAATAAACCCAAATATTTTTCGATCGAAAATCTCTGTTTCTCTTCAGGATATTCCCAATAATAATACCCAATTATTTATCTAATCATTTCTTCATAGTAGCCCCCAGCCAATAAAAAATCTTTAGTATTTTTAACTATGCTCTGATTAAAATATTCAATATTAATTAATATTTTCCTATTTTTAGTGGTTTTCTGGCGGTATATAATTAATTTTATAGAGAAATTTTAGTTAAATTCTCTTTAGTGTCTAACTTAACTTTACGAAAATATCAAATATGTATGTTTACATTGCAAGCAACGAATTTTTTGATTTTTGCCCACTAAGGCCTCTCTGTGCGTCGGAGTTCTTTTAGTTTTTCTTTTTTCATTTTAAATATTTTATACTCTGGCTGCTGAGCATCCTTGCAAAATAAAAGACATCATTTTATTTCATCTAACCACGCGAGCATTAATTATAATACCCAATCCACAGCTGTTAGAAGCAGAACGGACGTGTGGGGTTTGTTTTTTAGCGTATTTGGTTCTCACTTAAAGAGAGTGCTAGTGGCGCACTAACAGAGAGCGAAAGCAAACAAATGCAGCTAACTAAAATAATTGGAACAAAATTTCGCAGTTACACACAAGAAATACTAAATTTAAACAACAACAAAACACAAAATATTGTTTACAATTTTGTCGCTGCTAGTGGCCAGTGAATGAAGGAGAGCCTACAACGGCATTACTAAAAGCCAAAATAAACTCAAGTGTCAGTTGAATGTGAGCAACGGAAGTTAACGGTTGTGTGTGAGACAGGGAATACGGTAAATGCACTTACATACAAGTACATATCGCCGTATCACGCATATTAAAACAACAACAACAAAGAAGTGTTAAATTATTTCATTTATTATCGATTTTTTTAATTAGAAAGTCGTAATTTATGCAAGTGCATTAAATGATTAGTTTGCGCGGCCTGAGTATTTAGGCGATTATGTAAAGCCACGGAAAGGAACAAAAAACAAAGAAAATAATATAATTGAGTGAGTGTGTAAATATGTAAAGCTATACAAAAACAAAAAATAATATAGAACGGATAGTGTTTTAGAATGCCAAGTGTTAATAATAAAAAAAGATGTGCTCCATAAACAAAATAAAATGTCTGAAAAATGCTCGGAACTGCGGAAATGATAAGAACTACTAGTTAAAAATACTGGAATAATGGGCCTCTTGCATAGAAAAAGTACAAATTTTTGAGCTTGAGCTCACCCCTTCAGTGCAAAAACCTAGTCTGAGCTTAAGCTCACTTTTTATGCATAATAATGCTTGAGTCAAAAATTAGGAAAAGATTATCGACATGGCTAATGGATGCCGTTATGAAGCGTATAATCTCTGCTGTTGCTGTTGTACTAATACACACTAAGTAATTCAGCAAAATTCACGGTTTAATCTTTCTTCTCGTCTGATTCATCCAACCAAAGTTGCATCGTGTTTTTTGAATTTTACAGAGTTCAGTTACGGCGATTAATCTCAACGTCTTATTGATTATGTATCTGTGGGTCCTTTCGACTTCTTTTTCGGTCCTTGAGCCATCAGTGCAGATGGAAATACCATCATTTACCGACAGTAGGCTGCCTTCCCAGAATCACGTGTGGTACTCAGTTTCGACATCTCCGTTGGTCTGCTTCCACAGTTTTGATTCCCTTAGTGACTAAGGGCACCATATTGCGGCTGCGTCTGTTACGAATACTTTTGGTGGCTTCCAATAAAATATCATGTTCAGGTATTTTCTTGCGGCGCGCTTCGCACATCGCCTGATATACCAAGGCTTTCGAATCTCTGCACTCTTCCAGTTATCTTCTGATTGCCACTTTTATCCAGAGTTTTTCCCCATACCAGCGCTCCATAAGCTAACATCGGTCGGATAACGGTGGTATGCATACCGTGAATATCATTCAGAGGTGACGGCTCCAGTTTTTCTCGAAAGCTCTTTTGCAGGTATAGCTGATTGGCCCTCCTTTGCTCTTTCCTCTATGTTGCGCATTTACGTATGTTTGGAATCAAGGATAATACCTATCCCTTATAGGGTACATCATTTAATTTTGCGACACGCTGTTTCTGCTCGGTTGCTAAATACCACCGAACTAGAACTGATATCTGCTAACGAGTTCCAGGAACATATCGCACAATCATTTAAGCTGAATACCGTTATAGGAGCTCAATCACCATCCATCTCAAAGGAAAAACTTCAGCTGCTGCCTGGGGATGCCCACGTAGCTCTAGCGAAATTCAGATCTGGATACTGTCGCAGCCTAAGCTCCTACAGCTAGAGCTAGACATCAACGATTCGTAGATTATCCGAAGTCCTTACTGTCGAATCGCAGAACTGGACCTTATCAGACGCCTTCGAACTGCTCCTCGGATGGCCGCTTCTCAAAGATAGTAGAGATATCTGGGCTCATTATGGGAA